TTTGTCAGTTATACCACATTAAAGCTGCGGACAAAAAAGAACTTACAATAAAAAGTGGGGGATTTAAAGGAAATGCTTCTCTTTGTTTTTCTGTCTTTTGTCTCTATCCTTGATGTAACTGTTTTCTGTGTTCATTATGGTATTCCTAGATCACAGAATAGAGCCAGGTATATAGGTAGATGCCTTTTAATTATTTGCTGACTTAATAGATTTATAATATATATGTACCTTATATAGATTATATGTAATTATGTCATACTATTCTATATATGATATAACATACTATATAATATTTCTAATGATGTAGTTGCATTATTATATATTATATATGTACACATAAATGTGTACATATATAAAACACTACTTTAAATGGGGATCCTGGGAAATGGATCATTCATACCTTACTGATAAAAGCAGAAATAAAAATAACTTTCTGGAAAACAGCTTGTCAACTTAAATCTGAAATGGTAACAACATTTATCCCTACTGAGCCAGTAATTCTAAAAAGCAAACCAAAAAAACTCATTTATTAGGATACTCAGGATTACTTATAATACTGAAAACAGTATCATTCTTCAACAATATCAGCTTTGTTAAGTGAATGTTCTACATCTATTAAAATACTACATGCAATTACTTTGAAAAGTCACATTAACCAAAAAATGGCGTACAGAGTTCTCATCATATATTGTAAAACAAAGTTTACAAAACAATATATTAAAAATATCCAGCTTAATCATTTAAAAATTATATATAAATATACTTGTATAGAAGAAAGACAGGATGGATAGTCTCTAATAGTATAACAATGCCTATCTCTGAGTAGTGTAAATATGGGCAATTCATAATTTTCAAATTTTCTACCATGAACATATTTGTAGTTAGAAAAAAATGTGTTTTTACAAACGGGTCCTGTTTAGTTCTGTCAGAACTAAATTTTAGCATTTGTTTGATATTTATTTGATGAACAGAAATGAATTTTCAAAAATTGTTAAGTGCTGTAAAGTTTACATAAGGAAATAAAAAATAAGATCTCTGCTCTCAAGTAGTTTATATGAATTACCATTATGTGCTGTATTATGGGAAAAAGCAATAGCTAGACTTAAATTTAAGATTCAACCTAGTGCTGAGAAATGAATCTTGGAAACAACAGACAGGTATGACAGCATAGGCGGTGCCATTTATTAGCCATGTACTTCAGACAAGTTACTTAACCTTTTCCAAGTTCAGTTTTCTCATCTGAAATGGGGACATTGTAAGAACTAAATGATAAAATGAACATATTGAAGTATTTGAGAGCTAATTTGATATTGCTGTGTTAGTACTCTCCAACCAATTAATAGCTTTTAAGTTGAATAATGATTAATTTTCACATAATTGAGTCCTTATTTGTTCATGAAAAACATGGTTTGGGTCTTAACATTATTAGGGTCCTAGTAGAAAGATCTCTTCTTCAGATCTTACCCCCTACCAGTTCATCCATCTGTCCACCCATTCGTTGATCCATCCGTCCATTTTTACAGGACATCTGCCTATGAAGCCCTGTTCTGGGCAATATAATATACCTCCTGAAGCACTTTGCTTCTTTAATAACGTTCCTCTCAAATTCTATGTATTCACTCGTAAATGACCTGGCACTTTTATCTATTAAATGACCATTTTGGGTCAACTCCACAGTCAATCTGAATGACACTGATGAACTCCAGTGTTAAGCAGACCCAAATTATGATCTTCAGTGAGCTTTCAGCCACATGACTTGAAGAAGGGAAGTCTGAGTCTCCCTGGGTTCGGCTTAGGTTTGAATGCACACAGAGTGTTTAGTTTAGGTATGAGGCTTCATGTTCTTCAAGGGACATTATCAAACTGGAACACATCCAAGTCAGGTAACATGGCTAGATAATGGTTCAGGAATCACATTGTAGTTGATACTATTTGGAGCAAATGGGGATGTTTAACCCAAAATGCGGAAATTCGGTGAAGAGGACAACTGCTTGAAAATGCCTGAGGTTCTATCCTGTGATGGCAGTAGAAGCTTGTTGCATGGATGAGTATGAATAAGACAGTCTCCTAAAGGGTCATGACCATGACCAGCCACGTGCACCTGTCTTGCCCAAGATAGTCCCAGTGCATGCCTGTCTCTGCACAGCCCAGTTAAACCCTGTTAATTATTTAGAGTATCCTGTTACACTCTTGGAAGATCCTGATGTGGGCAAAAAACTATATTCACCCTAAGTTTCCTACAAAGTGATACAGCTTTTAGTTCTCCATCAGAAAGAGCTTACCTACAAGAACTGTCCAGTAATGCAACTATTTTCCTATCACTGGTAATGAACAAAAAGGGACCCGAATATCATCTGTCTGGGATGTTTTAGGCAAGAATTTATTTGGTGGAGGGTTAAAATTGGTGGCTTTTAAGCCATCTGCACTCCAAATTTAAAATGTTGTTACTTTTAACATTCCATGGTCAAGGATCAATTCCATGACATACCTTAACACTTCATATTTAAAAATTTATTTCTCTTCCTAACATGAAGACATCTCCATTTTGCATTTCACTAAATTTCTGTGGGCTTTCACTAATTTCTGAGAACTAGCAAATGCACACTAGTAATTCTATGGCAGGTTCCTTGTGGATGTTAAGGAGACAGGGACCCTGCCGTGAGAAAGAAATAAGACCAAGAAAGTACTTTTTAATAATATGACATGGACAGAAAAAATAAATAAATAAATAAATCCAACCTTTACTATAACTAATCTATTTAATATTGTAAATGGTTTGCTTTTGTATTTATTTAATATATTTAATATTTATTCCCTGTTAAAAATCACCTACTATAATATGTTGTTCTGTGGGGCAGAATGAAGAATCCTACCTCTGAAATCCTCCATCTGCCAGTAACCAGTTTTGTGGGTTGAGATAAAACGTGTACATCTCTGAGCCTCAGATTCTTTATCTCTACTACACAGAGATGACACCACAGTTTTGTACTGTAATTCTGAGGCATAGAAATAATTATGTTAAAGAACCTGGTACATACTATGTATTCAAAAAGTTAGCTATTTATGAGAGACTATTTTGCAAGCATTAAATCTATTTTAGCCTACTTGCCACTATTTAATGATGCTCTATTTGTACATCCTTGTGCTCAAGGTTGACTGTCCATTTGTTAGCACATCTGCATATTCTTCATAATTAATATCTTTTTAATGACATATGGTTTAGTGACTGGAAATTGAGTCTTGCCTTCTGTTTTCAATTTGTTTATGACTCAATGACTCAATATATGTGTCTAAACTATAATTTTCCATTCTGGAAACTAGAATTTAAAATCTTTGCTCATATGTAGCTATTTCAGAAAATGAGAGGAAAATGTGTAATGCAAGGCTATTGAATATGTGCCAGGCTATTCAGTGAGGCAGGCAGAATGTATATAGATAAAAGGCCCTGGTTTCTCTTATGTTAACAGGGAGACCTAAGCGAGGATGCCAACCATCTCATCTCTGAAGTGAGAGAGTAGCCTGCGCTGAGCTGGAGTGAGATTCCACCTGAAGCCAGCAGGAAGCATCGCATTTACTAGGAATGAGTCTGGGCAAAGATTGTGGGGGTCCTAGGCACTAGAATTAGGCAGACGACATGATTACTCCACATAAGTTCTCCAATAGCATCTTCTGGCAGTGCCACTTCAAAGCCTGTTCTCCTGACAGGCAAGATCCAGTGCACATTTGTTTATGTTTCTAATTTCTGAAACCCCTGAAGCACTTATACCGCTTTTCTACTTTGTATACATTCTGTGTTGCAGTTACTTGAGCCTTATCTATCTCTCTATTAAACCTACAGTGGATAGACTAATCCCCCCTGCTATCGATTCTGCCCTTTCCCCACCTAGCAAAGAACCTTGTGCAGAGTGGCATTCAATATCTTTTTATTAAAGATTTGCATTTAATACAAAATATTATAGACTTCTTTGGTATCTTAATGAAATACTTTATTCCAGTGTTTTGAAATGCACACACACAGAAAAAAACACAACTAAACACACCTAGATACTAATAAGTTGGTAGGTTATCCTGAGAAATTAGTACATATGAGAAGCACATTGAATTCATTTTCTCCCCCTGAGTGTCCTCTTCTGGCCACTACAGCCTTGGTAGTCATCAGCCGTATGAAAAAAAAAAGCTTGTTTTTACTTTTTAGAGCTCCCCCAGGATTCTACAAATTTGTGTGTAGCAAAGGTTTGGGGCGTTCTGTTTGTTTTTAGGGTTTAGTGTTCTGTGTGGGTTTTTTTAGATGGGGAGGGTCTACAAGTGTACATCATTTACAAATTTAATGACATCACATACTCAAAAAATTATACCATCTAGATTAGTCTAACGTATGATTTAATTCATTGCCTAATGTTTTGTGTTCATTTTGCCTTCCGAAAAGGGTTAGATTTCAAAATTTTATTAAAAACTCCCTTCCTTTGAATTTATAGATTGGGGTAGCTATTTTATCCAGTTGCCATGTAAAATCAGTATTTACTGGACAAGATGTGTTGATTCAGGAGGTTGTCTGTGGAGTACTTGCCCCATGAGGGTCATATTAAACTTGAGAGAAGCTTTCTGAGCAACATAGCGTCTTGGAGACAATATATCAAGCTGATAGATACACAGTTCTTCTGTTAAGAAACCAGAGGTGGAATTATGGCTGGCTCCCGGTTATTGCTTTGGTGCTAAGGAGCCTCTAAGGAATAGGTATAGGATAAAAGGGGTTAACCAGAGGGGAAAGAAAGGTTTCTAGAATGCAGTGTTACTAAAAGCACGCAGAATGAATAGTTACATGTAAATAATTTAAGACAACCTCTCTGCAAGTATTTTGCAATTTTATATAATCAGTATAACCAATTTAATGGAGTGCATTTTTTTGTTATCACTCAGAAGAGAATCCAAGATACTTTATTAATATTATGGAGGCTACTTTGGGGCACTCCTCTGTTCTTTCTTAATAGCACACTCATGCAGTTTCTAACAGGTGAAGGGATTTTTGTGAACGTATATAGAACTCAAATTTTTTCATTTTGATGGCTTATCAAAGCTGATTTTTGTTCAGAATTTGGATAGTCAATGACATTATAGTCCTTGACACAGAAAAAGTAGACAAGAACTAATCAAATGAAGGACATGGCTTTCTGTATTTTACATTATACACAATTGCAGTTTACTTTTTGCCCATCCTTTTTTTGATATGTTCATTTGTTGTTCATCAGTTGGATATATATATAAAAAAAAGAGTTCCTAATTGTCAAAACTATTTGTGTTCACAGATAAAAATTTCAATGAAAAAGTCTTTAGTAATGAATGTCCTTCAAACCAAAGATTTAGAGTTAAGTTATTGTGTAACTGGCCCTGCATAGCAGTCATTTCATTTCCTCATCACGTCACATTTCTAGTAACGGAGAGCGACTGCCTACCATTTTTCTCTCTCTTAAAGCACACAGTTCACTTGCACCACTTTGGCATTGACCTGATACTTTTGTTTTTATTTTGCTTACTGAGAAATGGACACCATCAGAAGAGATCTTTGCTGTTTTTCTATCATCAAATCTACCTGTTCCTGTGCATCTGCTGCCTTGATCTCTGCATTCACTTCTGCACAATGGGTAGACTGTCCCTGCTTACTAAACAGCCCACATGCAGTGGCTCTCAATTCAGTTCACATGTACACTGGCTTGCCTCTCTCCCTCACACACACACACACACACACACACACACACACACACACACACACACAAAATTTCTGTGGGCTTTCACTAATTTCTGAGAACTAGCAAATGCACACTAGTAATTCTATGGCAGGTTCCTTGTGGATGTTAAGGAGACAGGGACCCTGCCGTGAGAAAGAAATAAGACCAAGAAAGTACTTTTTAATAATATGACATGGACAGAAAAAATAAATAAATAAATAAATCCAACCTTTACTATAACTAATCTATTTAATATTGTAAATGGTTTGCTTTTGTATTTATTTAATATATTTAATATTTATTCCCTGTTAAAAATCACCTACTATAATATGTTGTTCTGTGGGGCAGAATGAAGAATCCTACCTCTGAAATCCTCCATCTGCCAGTAACCAGTTTTGTGAGTTGAGATAAAACGTGTACATCTCTGAGCCTCAGATTCTTTATCTCTACTACACAGAGATGATACCACAGTTTTGTACTGTAATTCTGAGGCATAGAAATAATTATGTTAAAGAACCTGGTACATACTATGTATTCAAAAAGTTAGCTATTTATGAGAGACTATTTTGCAAGCATTAAATCTATTTTAGCCTACTTGCCACTATTTAATGATGCTCTATTTGTACATCCTTGTGCTCAAGGTTGACTGTCCATTTGTTAGCACATCTGCATATTCTTCATAATTAATATCTTTTTAATGACATATGGTTTAGTGACTGGAAATTGAGTCTTGCCTTCTGTTTTCAATTTGTTTATGACTCAATGACTCAATATATGTGTCTAAACTATAATTTTCCATTCTGGAAACTAGAATTTAAAATCTTTGCTCATATGTAGCTATTTCAGAAAATGAGAGGAAAATGTGTAATGCAAGGCTATTGAATATGTGCCAGGCTATTCAGTGAGGCAGGCAGAATGTATATAGATAAAAGGCCCTGGTTTCTCTTATGTTAACAGGGAGACCTAAGCGAGGATGCCAACCATCTCATCTCTGAAGTGAGAGAGTAGCCTGCGCTGAGCTGGAGTGAGATTCCACCTGAAGCCAGCAGGAAGCATCGCATTTACTAGGAATGAGTCTGGGCATAGATCGTGGGGGTCCTAGGCACTAGAATTAGGCAGACGACATGATTACTCCACATAAGTTCTCCAATAGCATCTTCTGGCAGTGCCACTTCAAAGCCTGTTCTCCTGACAGGCAAGATCCAGTGCACATTTGTTTATGTTTCTAATTTCTGAAACCCCTGAAGCACTTATACCGCTTTTCTACTTTGTATACATTCTGTGTTGCAGTTACTTGAGCCTTATCTATCTCTCTATTAAACCTACAGTGGATAGACTAATCCCCCCTGCTATCGATTCTGCCCTTTCCCCACCTAGCAAAGAACCTTGTGCAGAGTGGCATTCAATATCTTTTTATTAAAGATTTGCATTTAATACAAAATATTATAGACTTCTTTGGTATCTTAATGAAATACTTTATTCCAGTGTTTTGAAATGCACACACACAGAAAAAAACACAACTAAACACACCTAGATACTAATAAGTTGGTAGGTTATCCTGAGAAATTAGTACATATGAGAAGCACATTGAATTCATTTTCTCCCCCTGAGTGTCCTCTTCTGGCCACTACAGCCTTGGTAGTCATCAGCCGTATGAAAAAAAAAAGCTTGTTTTTACTTTTTAGAGCTCCCCCAGGATTCTACAAATTTGTGTGTAGCAAAGGTTTGGGGCGTTCTGTTTGTTTTTAGGGTTTAGTGTTCTGTGTGGGTTTTTTTAGATGGGGAGGGTCTACAAGTGTACATCATTTACAAATTTAATGACATCACATACTCAAAAAATTATACCATCTAGATTAGTCTAACGTATGATTTAATTCATTGCCTAATGTTTTGTGTTCATTTTGCCTTCCGAAAAGGGTTAGATTTCAAAATTTTATTAAAAACTCCCTTCCTTTGAATTTATAGATTGGGGTAGCTATTTTATCCAGTTGCCATGTAAAATCAGTATTTACTGGACAAGATGTGTTGATTCAGGAGGTTGTCTGTGGAGTACTTGCCCCATGAGGGTCATATTAAACTTGAGAGAAGCTTTCTGAGCAACATAGTGTCTTGGAGACAATATATCAAGCTGATAGATACACAGTTCTTCTGTTAAGAAACCAGAGGTGGAATTATGGCTGGCTCCCGGTTATTGCTTTGGTGCTAAGGAGCCTCTAAGGAATAGGTATAGGATAAAAGGGGTTAACCAGAGGGGAAAGAAAGGTTTCTAGAATGCAGTGTTACTAAAAGCACGCAGAATGAATAGTTACATGTAAATAATTTAAGACAACCTCTCTGCAAGTATTTTGCAATTTTATATAATCAGTATAACCAATTTAATGGAGTGCATTTTTTTGTTATCACTCAGAAGAGAATCCAAGATACTTTATTAATATTATGGAGGCTACTTTGGGGCACTCCTCTGTTCTTTCTTAATAGCACACTCATGCAGTTTCTAACAGGTGAAGGGATTTTTGTGAACGTATATAGAACTCAAATTTTTTCATTTTGATGGCTTATCAAAGCTGATTTTTGTTCAGAATTTGGATAGTCAATGACATTATAGTCCTTGACACAGAAAAAGTAGACAAGAACTAATCAAATGAAGGACATGGCTTTCTGTATTTTACATTATACACAATTGCAGTTTACTTTTTGCCCATCCTTTTTTTGATATGTTCATTTGTTGTTCATCAGTTGGATATATATATAAAAAAAAGAGTTCCTAATTGTCAAAACTATTTGTGTTCACAGATAAAAATTTCAATGAAAAAGTCTTTAGTAATGAATGTCCTTCAAACCAAAGATTTAGAGTTAAGTTATTGTGTAACTGGCCCTGCATAGCAGTCATTTCATTTCCTCATCATGTCACATTTCTAGTAACGGAGAGCGACTGCATACCATTTTTCTCTCTCTTAAAGCACACAGTTCACTTGCACCACTTTGGCATTGACCTGATACTTTTGTTTTTATTTTGCTTACTGAGAAATGGACACCATCAGAAGAGATCTTTGCTGTTTTTCTATCATCAAATCTACCTGTTCCTGTGCATCTGCTGCCTTGATCTCTGCATTCACTTCTGCACAATGGGTAGACTGTCCCTGCTTACTAAACAGCCCACATGCAGTGGCTCTCAATTCAGTTCACATGTACACTGGCTTGCCTCTCTCCCTCACACACACACACACACACACACACACACACACACACACACACACACACAAGGAATCTGCTCTGGCATTTATTCTTCCTTCTCCTCCATTAGCATTTCCCCCAATTTCTTCTGGATCATTCTAATAAATATGCATATGTTGTCCCATCCTCCCATTTTCAGTAAACCTTCCTTTGATACCATAAACTTCTCTAAAATGCTGCTCCATTTTTTACTCACCTTTAGGACAAATATCTCTAGATCTGTCTGGCATACTGTACCCTTTCATTCTTTGCTCTACTTTCACCATTTAAGACCATGCCCATGCATTCACTACAAATATTCTTGTCAAGATCACCAAACGCCTCCACTGGGACAAACGCAATGTGTACCTCTCTGTTTTCTCTTCCCTTGAACTCTCAGCACATTTGAAATAATTGATCATATTCTCCCTTTTTGGTATGTTTTTTTTTCCTTGGCTTCCAGGCTGTACCTTCTCCTACCTCACTGGCCACTCCTTTCAGTCTTCTTTGTCACGGAGGCCTCCTCCTGATGTCAAAATGTTGGGGGACCCCCAGGGCTCACTTCTCAGATCTCTTCTATGCTATTGCTACTCTCAACCCCTTGTTTATTTCATCAAGTCACAGCCATTAAATATCATGTACACATTAAGCCACAATTCCTATCCAGACTCACATCTGCAATTTCTTCCTGAATGTCTCTACTAAAAATGTGTAATAAACTTCTTAAATGTAACATGAACCAAACAGAGCTATTGATCCCCTCCATAATGAGTTTCTCCCCTTAGTGTTTCCAATCTCAGTAATGGCAGCACCATGCTCTGGGGTGTTTAGGCTGAAAACATTGGCCCCCAATCCCATTTAGAATGCTATCTAAAGTCTTTACTGTGACTTTCTGGGACCAGATCCAGAAAGGACCTAGAGGGATAGAGACCTGCCTGTTCCCCCCACCTCTTCTCGTTTCCCTCTCCTTTGTCTCAACCGCGTCAGCCTTCTTACTGTTCCTTAAGCACAAGCAGTGCTGTCCCCTTCTCTCTCCCTGTGCACTTTCTGCTCTCGGGCTGATTGCTGTACCTCCAGACATCCTCATGATCACCTCCCTTATGTCACTGAGGTCTCTGCTCACATGTCACCTACTCAAATGACATGTTCGTCCTGTAACTTTCTTATCTAATCTGAATTGTTATAACTAGAATTGTACACTCCTTTTCACTTTTTCTTCCCTTACCCAGCTTTGTTTTTCTCCTGAACACTTATTGCCATCTGCTGTGATGTTCCGTACCTGTTCATTGTTGGCTCAATTTACCTACAAGTTCCTCAGGGTCAGGGGTTGTACCTATTTTTCTTAGTGCTGTTATCCCTCCACACAAGGAACACTACACAGAGCAGAGGCTCAATAAATGTTTATTGAATAAATTAGTGAATTATTGATGAACTTAAAACCCTTACAACAGATTGATGAAACATGTAATCTAATTCTTCCATTCTCATCACTGGTCATTTGTTAGCCTCATAGTTCACAGGCAGGTTCCCCTGAATTTGAGAGCATACGAAACACACGTTATGTAAGGTTATGTATAAAAGAAAGTTGAAAATGAACCTTGATGTTTGTCTTCATTATTCTGATCCCTTCTTCTTATTCACAATGGCCTCTAGTGATCCTTGATCATTAGGAACTTATGTTACAATAATCAGAATGTTCTTAAAAGTTATGTTGTAGTAGCACACCAAGTAAGAGAATTTCAAATAGTCCAATGTAATAGTAATCGTGGTAACAACAACTAACAATAAACAACTACCAGGACTCAAAATATGGCCCTTTATTTAAATTGTCTCTGCTCTTTTCAATAATCCTGCAAAAGAAAAATAATATTCCTGCTTAAAAGTTAAGAAACACAAGCTCAGAGTCATTAGGTAATTTTTAATTTGCTTTTGAGTTTCTGATGAGTTTTGGGACAAATTCTGATCTGATAGGTTCATTCAAATTATGGTTATTGGGAAAATTAATAACCAGAGTCATCCTGTCAACTTCTTTAGAATTGTCTTCAGTTTCTCTGATTCTATCAGGCCTTCTAGAACTATTGATTTTCTTGAAAGATTATATCAAGCAGGTATGCTGAATTTAGGGTAGATTTGCCAGAGAATCAACTAAACTAGAAAAAGCAACATGTATTCCCCACGTTGCAACATTTTTTAATAAAGGCAGTGTCACTATGAGAAGGGGCAACTACCTATATAAACACATGAGGCCGGAAGTTTAGTGTTTGTCTTTTCATAGGAGAGAATTAAGGCTAGAATGTGCTATTTTCAGCCAGTCATATATATTTATCATGGTAGAAAAATACAATTTTAATAGACTTCCCTCAAAAAAAAAAGCCAGTTGTGTTTATTAGTTGTGGGTTAAGGTAGCAATGGGTGACATATATGGGAGAAATGAAAGCTCTGGACTCCTTTACTGTTCTATTACTCTGACTGTTGAGCAAAGAGTTAAATTAAAAAGGTACTTTAATATTTGCTTCACTAATTTCCCTATGTGTTTTCAATTAGACAAACAGAAGTACAGGTGTGAACGTGCTGCCTATCCATTTGTCTTGCTGTTTGGGGGCTGGCTTTTAAGACTGGAATACTAATGTAATTGTGTTGAAATGAACAATAAGGAAGTACAGTAGTTCAGGAATGAAAATGTTAAAATAAATGGACCATGTTTAACATTGTTGTTGATCCTGAGGAACAGTTTTTCCAGTATATGGAGCATTTCCATTCCATCCAGCATATGTTCTCCACAGTTTTCTCTGCTCTAATTCATCTGTGTTTTTCGACAGCTCCAGATGGCGTGCTGCCTCCGAGGCTTTCATCTGCCACTCCAACCAGTCTCCGCGTTGTCTGGTCCACACCAGCTCGGAACAACGCCCCTGGCTCCCCTAGATACCAGCTCCAGATGAGGCCCGGCCCCTCCACCCATGGATTTTTAGAGTGAGCCATATACTTTGTCCTCTTAACTGTAACCTGGGTTTTACAATGTAGACACAGTTTACTGTCTCTTGAGTTTTGAATAGTGAATTAGTTTTCATACATAACAAATAAAGGCCACCTTTTGAAAGTTCAAACAGAAAACAACACCCCAGGAAATAATTACTTCCTTTGTAAAAATATCTATTTTTAATTTCTATAGCATTTAAAATAAGATTTCCTCACTGTTAACTTTCCTGAGAACGTGTATTGTACAAAGCAAGCTCACAACCTGAACCCAAAAACGTGCATCTGAACTATGGCTACGAAATGATAATACTTACTCTACAAATTCCACATGCCAATCAGTCTTAGCTCTAGAGCAGAATTAACTTAATACTACTAGAATTTACAGCCCATATAAATGCTGATTACCAATGCTCAGCCAAATGGCTGTGTATTTTTAAAAGAAGATATGTGACAACAGAAATTACAGTACTTAAATGTATTTTGACACTGTCTGAAAATTCTGCAATATAATTTTACATTTATTTCTTGGAATCTAAAACTTCCTAATTAAGTTTCTTTCCCATGCAGGTTATTTTCCAGTCCTTCTGCATCGTTAAGCTATGAAGTGAGAGATCTCCAACCGTACACAGAGTATGAGCTTCGCTTGGTTGCCTCCAATGGATTTGACAGTGCACAGAGTTCTTGGATTCTATTCATGACCACAGAGGACAGTAAGTAACCTGCCCAAACACAGCCAAATGTCCTCTACACTAGGGAGCCTTAAATGTCTTCAGATTTTCCAAAACAAAGAAATAAACCTCCCCAATTTTCTTGACGTTTAGTGACAATAATCTTTTCCAGGGCAAGTGTGGGCATATTCTCCAGAAAAATGAAAAATGTGGACTTGGAAAGCTGGAGGGATAGGCCTGCATACAGGAAGAACTAATTCACAATAAAGGATGATGTCCCCATTCGATCCTCAGTGTGCTCTAGAGTTCTGCAGGAGAATGGTTATCATCTTCTACTCTGTGACTGCATGTAACAGTGTTCTCAGCATTGGAGGAATTCTGGCAGGCAGAAGAATATGCAATAGGGGCCTTGTTTCATGAGGATGCTTAGAGCATCTTATACCTTGTTCTGGAAGCAAATTCCCTTGTACTTTACTTATACCTGAAAGAGAGCATCCCGAACAGAGAAGTATCGTCTGAGAATAATCATTCTGCACATTTAACAAAGAGTAGATTGGGATTGCCTTATTCAAATAATAAAGAATGTTCTAGCTTTCTATAGAAGAGTTATGTTTGCATATATATGTTTTACTAGGTTATATATAGCTATAATATTTAGTTTTATACAAATTACCTCTATAAAAGCATATATATGGAAGTATAATTTTTTAAGATAAGTCGGAAATTAAATCAAGCTATACAGAGTGAATGAGGATGCTGTATTTTTGAACAATGAGGGTTTTAGAGTTAATCCTGTTGAGTCTTTTAATCAGTGGCTTCTTAGGAGATGTTGCTCTGTTGGCCAATTGCCATTCTGTCTCTATATCCAATGAGAACCTGAGTGACTTTCAAAAGGCTAGATATTAATCATAAGTCACAATATTTGAAACAATATCAACTGTATATTAAATAGGTTCTTTTATTTCTGAAATAACTTAATTATGTTATTTTAGTAAGGACATCAAATGAAATAAAATCAGAACTATTTACCTTCCATAAAGCATACTTTATTTTTTAAAAACCCATTAAGAACAGTAGCATATAATGCTTCATCCATTTCTCCCAATTTATAATTGCTCCCTGGGAACCAGTTAGGTACTTTACAAGGGCACATTGGTCCTTTTGGTCTCAAGGGTACCATTTAGCAAATTATCAGCACAGGGCAATAAATGACACCCAGAACTCAGAAAGCATTAACACACCACTCAACACACCTACACCCCTTTTAGGGGAAACGTTATATACACGCTGGGGAATCTGACAGCAGGGTCACCTACGTATAGAGATTTATGAAGTGGAGAGCTCACACTCAAAATAGTTTTTTGAAAAAATGTTTTGTTAAAAACAACTGAAAATACATTTTTAATCTCCTTAGATAGCACATGCTTGGTGAAACTCAATAAAGGTTCATTAAAAATAATTATTCAACCCAATGCAGAGGTAATGGCCCAGCAGAAGGCCACACTGGAAGAGGAGGGGATGGTCTCCTTTTTGGAATTCATGATTTCTAAAGCCATGGAAAAAAGGGCAATACATGGGTTTCCCCAGTGGTTAATTATTGAAAAGGGGCCATGATCTCCTACCTATAGGCAGAAAGTTATGTGTATAAACAAAGCCCAAAACATTGCAAAGTAGCAATTAGCATGGCAGCCTTTGTTGAGCAAATTTATCACCTGCCTCATCTTACCATAAAAGAAGTCTCAGAGACTTTATGTGGTCAGAATTTTCATGCACACATACAGTGCCTTCTTTGTGATTTTTTAGGGCCTGGGTTTGAAGTGAATAGTGTTAACCCTGCATTTCCCTTTAGTAACAATTAGTAATGCTTGATTTTACAGCAGGTATTAACTCAAGAAATCCAGCCATCATTTTTTGTTTAAATCCTTTCCCTGAGACTGATGACCTCTTCCTTCCTCTGCTTCATGTGCACCCTGTGAAGTCATACAGATTAAGAAAGGCCAAAGGCTGGCCATTTGTCCCTCCAGGTTAAGTTACCAGGGCATACTTGCCCCTGGGACATGATGACCATGTACTGTATATTTTGGCTGTCAGTGGAGATGGATGCCATCTCTGAAAGGATGTGCAATTGAGCTGACAAAGACTGAGTGATTAGCATTGGGCACAAGCAGTTTTTCTGACAAGGCTTCAAAGTATTGCTTATAAAACCACCCACACTGACAGCTGCAAGCCAGAATTGCCCCGCACACTTGATCATGACCAGTGCCTCCCATCGCCAAAGTGCAATTTCCAGTATAGAAACTCTACTTATCATCTTACAGAATGAAGCAGAGAAGTCATCTCATGCCCACATTTAAATTTCATACCACCAATAGGTACTTTTCTGCATCAGCCAAAGCCTTGAAACTTCTCAGTGCCAAAATAGGTCACCAACGAGCAATGTTTGTAGTATGATATAGCAAGGTTGTGACTGTCATCAAACCTGTGACACAGCTGAAGCCAGAAGGAGAAGCGTAGGCAGGAAGTGAACGATAACCAGAGAGACAAATGCTTGGGTGCAAGAATTTTTCACGGACAGAGAAAAGGGCTGTGAGGAATTTTAATAGATTTTTTCCCCAAATAATTTGTCATTTACATCAGAGCGCTACCAACATCCAGTTCCATGCATTTTTAAAAATCTAGTGTGCTGATGCCAAATAATAATAATGCACATTTCCTATGAATATTTTAAATCCTGTTTAACGTATGTTAATAAAAGATGTTTGTTCCAGGCAACTTGGTCAGTGTACTGTTCGACTATTTGCAACCAGATAAATACAAACAACTCATGCTTTTTTTTTTTTTGCTTCTTTTTTACTTTTTCATATGCTGCTGGCAGTCCAGGCACCTGGCATGCTTGCAACTTGCAAAAATGCTTTAAGATTATGTTAAACTTTGGAACATGTGATGAAAAGCATGAAGACATTTGCCTAGCAGCTGAAATTTTTGATATCTTTTAACCAGAACCAACCATTCTGGTTACATTATTGTGCCCACTCTCTTGTGTATTTACAATCATTTTCTATGCAGTATATGCACGTAGAAATTGTAGTTGTCTGGAAAGACAAGTTTCTTCCTACTTCAGCTTAAATATGAACATCCTCTTTCGCCTTCTAAAATCCTGCCCTATGTAAAATATGAGCTGACCCGCTTTTCTTTATAAATGTCAGTCCCCTAGACCAATAAAAGTCAGATGATCTGTTTCTCTCAAGATTTTTCAGGTAACATGATTGAAATATGGATTATCTCTTTATTTCAGTCATTTTAATAGCAAAAATATATGGTATGTACTAGCAATTAGATTAACCTAATGCAAAATGAAAGTATTTTCTAAAAAATTACTCTCTACCTCCAAATAAACAAAACCCCAAACTGGTTTTAGAGTAGACCATTTAGTTGTCATGTATTTTTAAAAACCTTTCAAAGTATGATCATTTCACCAAATTTGTAGTTAAAAACTGCACATTTTTCACCACTAATCAAAGAGGCAGTACTAAATAAAATGTGGCAGAAGTTCAAGTTTATTCTGTAGATGCACTTAGATAATTTTTCATGTGTTTATTGTTTTGCTAACAGACTGTTGATGAGTTTTGACTGACCTATGGTGAAATAATCAAATAAACTTGAATTTCTGCCACATTTTATTTAATACTGCCTCTTTGATTAGGAAGACATATCTTATCTCCTACACACTGAGATTTTTAAGTACTATTTACATACACTGTATTTACTTATTATATTAGATCTGGTTATTATTTTTTCCTCACTGACAGTTGTACTGTGAACAATGGATGAAGCAATGAAGGAAATTATCCTACCTCTGGATTCTGCTTTACTTTTCCTGTTATCAGCATTTTTGAGCATTTCCCTCATTCATTCATCTTTGAGATTCCCCCAGAGCAGTTTACAAAGGAATAAAGGTTCTTCTGGAATAAGACAGAAGAACACTGCATTGTTAATTGAAATCTATGTCTAACATAACATATTCCTTCCTCATTTGTTGACTGGCAAAATTTTACTAATTCATCAAGCCTCAGCTCAAATGTCACCTCCTCTGTGAAGCCTTCTCTTCACATTGCTATCTTAGAATTTTGGCTTGTATCTACTCGTGCACCATCAATATCTCCTTCAGAGCTGTAATTTCTCAAGACCTAGGGCTCTGTCTCATTTATCTTTGTACAGCAGTCTCCCCTTATCTGTGATTCCACTTTCCATGGTTTCAGTTACCACAGTCAGTAAGTAAATAATCGGGAAGTACATGATCCTCCTGGCTTACCTTCAGGTCAGTAGTAGCTCAATGCTACGTCACAGTCCTGCGTCCCTCCCCTCACTCCGTCTCATCACGCAGGCATCTCATCATCTCCGTTTCCACAAGAAGAGAGGTGAATGAAGCACAGGAAGACGTTTGAGAGACCGTATTCACATAACTTTTATTGCAGTATATTGTCATAATCTTTTTTATTATTAATCATTGTTAACTTCTTACTGTACCTAATTTATCAATTAAATTTTATCAAAGATATGTGTGTATAAGAAAAAAACAGTATGTAGAGAGTCCAGTACTATCTGTGGCTTCAAGCATCCACAGAGGGTTTTGGAACATAGTCCCCGCTGATGAGGAGGCACTGCTGTATATCCAGGCCTGGTGGAGGGTCTGATATAAAGCAGGTGCCCCAAAATTGTTACACCCGAAATACTGATTAAAAAGCGTTTCATGTAAGCAAATCTATGGAAAATCAACCAAGCAAACATTAACTATGTGTCTGCTGGGTATTGAAAAGAGACACTAAAATTACAGGGATGAATAAGACACTGCTCTTCCCTTGAGGCCGCCACTGTTTGGCAAACAGGACATAAAATACATCCATAGTTAAAAAAATACAGAGCTGAGAGTTCTTTCAGAGCAAGAGCAGAGGAAGTGCATTTCTCTAAACGTGGGGTGTCAGAAAAGCCCTTCCAGAGGAGAAGACCAGAAGAAGGAAGAGAGGATGATGTGTGTGTGGAGT